AATATATATCATTAAAAATAATAATAAATTGGTTTAATAATTCATTTATTACATTTATAAAAAAATAATTGACAACAATACTAAGACCTTGTTTGCGAATTTAGAAATTAATTCTTTTAATTAATTTTTTATGTAAAAATATATAAAAAAAATAAATAAAAATAAGGAGAGTAATGTGAATAAAAAGCGAACATGCCACACCTGTGAACTCTATTTTTGTGTAAACAAGTAAAAGACGTCATAAACGTATGGCCCACACTAGACCCATTATTCAAGTTGTAACTTTGGATGTATATCTATACTTTTCTGAAAGGAAAAATTCTTGACGTGGATTGATTTTTTTTGTTTTTTTAATTATTTTAGTTTGGGTTAAAATAGTTTCATTTGGGATATATTTTTTTAATTTTTATTAAAAAAAAATGTAATAATTATAATTTAGATGTGATAATTTTTAGTATAGAATTAAAAAATCTATTTTATCTTTTTGTGATTAAAATATTCCCAACTCATGCTTAACCCACATGCCAAACGAGTGCTTAGTTACTTTTAGATTTGTTTAAACAAGATATATCAAAAAAGTAAAATGTTTTGATATAATTTAAAAAAATATTTTTAAAGACACATTTTATTTAAAGAAAAATATGACTTTTTTTATTTGAATGATAAACAAAGGCTCCCTAAATTCCAACTCCACTTTTAAAAAGATGAATGTCATATATCACGGAAATATTTCTTCAAAACTTCTCACCTCTTATGCAATCTTTCCAAATGTCATAATCTCATAATTTTTTTTAAAGTGTTTTTAAATTTATCATATAATCAGTACGGGTAAGAAAAAAAATAATTAGTGTGTTTGATTTTAATTTTTTGAATTTAATTTTTTTAAAATTAAGTTTTTTATTTTTCATATTTTTTTATTTTTAGTGAATATTTTTAAAATTTTAAACATTTTTTTTACTTGTTTAGATACACCTTACTTAAATGTATCTAAAAAGTAAAATATTTGTGAAAAAATATTTTAAAAAATTAATAAATACACAAAAATACGAAAAAATATATTGAATTTATATATATATATTTTTATATTTTTGAAATTTAGTGAATGTTTTAAAGATTTTTTTTATGAAAGTATATTTATGTTAAGTGTGTTTAAAAATTAAAAAAAAATTGCTTAAAATATTAAAAAAAATCAGTAAAAACAAAAAAATACGAAAAATAAAAAGTAGAATTTTCTGAAAAATATTTTCAAAAAAGTAGAAAAACATGATGAATAATTTTAATAAACTTCTTAATCAGATGTGATGTAAAATGAATCTTCCCTTCTTTTATTTCCATTTTTTTTTCTCTTGACCCAAAATAAATGAATAAATAAAAGGTAAAGTACATTGACTACTATTGAAATTTGAAAAAAAAATATAACAAACTCTACAATTTTGATATAATTACTTGCTGACCTCTATTTTAGTAAATTTAAATGGACCAAACTTAATGCAGATATTACGAAAATACAAAAATAAACAATGTAAAGTATACATTTTCAAGTAAAAAAAATTGACAACAACATTTTTTTTTTATCAATATACCTAACAAATTATGTTGAAAATAAGATTAAGTATTATATAAATTAAAATTACAAGAGACTCAATGTAATTAATTATACTAAAATTGTGAGATTTATTGTATGTATTTTCCAAACATTAAGAGACGCCTGTCTAAATTCTAATTAACCCATAAATAAATAAACAAAAGTAAGCTATAAAAAAACACACACAAAAAATGTTAACATTGAATAATATGTCAACCATATGGCTTCTAAATATTGCATTTGAATTCAGGGTTTGACTCGAAGCTTCAAGGAAACCAACAAGGCCATTGACACAATCTTGGAGATCATCATCACCGAGCACGAACAAGACCCTTCTAGGATTCACCAAACCCATGACAAAAAAGACTTCATTGATGTAATGTTGTCACTAATGAACAACAAATCCTCAACAACAACCCACGACGAGCTCTCTTATTCCATCGATCGCAACAACATCAAAGCGATCGCAGTCGACATGATTGTCGGAGCAATCGACACCTCGACCACTGCAATCGAGTGGGTCATGTCAGAGATCTTGACCCACCCGAGGGTGGCCCAAAAGCTCCAACAAGAACTCATGAGTGTCGTTGGAGGAGAGAGAATTGTGGCAGAAATGGATTTGGTAAAGTTGGAGTACTTAGAAATGGTTATTAAAGAGACTTTGAGAATTCACCCAGTCGCTCCATTATTAGTCCCACGTGAATCGATGGAGGATATTGTCATCGATGGCTATTTCATACCTAAAAATTCACGAATTTTGGTGAATTCTTGGGCTATGGGCCGAGACCCAAGCATCTGGTCAAACAATGTTGGGGAGTTTTTACCCGAGAGGTTCATGGATGGGCACGTCGACATCCGGGGAAGGGATTTTCAACTTATACCATTTGGGTCAGGTCGGAGGGGGTGCCCCGGGATGCATTTGGGGCTAACTAACATTCGGTTGGTGGTGGCTCAGTTGATGCATTGCTTTGATTGGGAATTGCCTAATGGGATGAAACCAAATGAATTGGATATGAGTGAAAAATTTGGCTTGTCATTGCCAAGAGCCAAACACTTGCTTGCAATTCCAACTTATCGCTTGTAGAAATGTGCTCTTATGTGAACTTTAAATATGTGTGCAAGTATTATTTATTTATTTATTGCTTTGATATACAATTTTATTAGTTGTTGCGTTTTATTTCTTTTATATTTGTTTAGATTATATGTAAGGGCTACACTCTCTTTATTTTAGAGAGAAGCAACTATACGGTTGAATTTACTTTATAAAATTTATAACGTATATTATTTCGATAATTCAAATTGTTCATTTATTCTTTTTTTCTCTTGATTTTTTCTATAATTAGATACTTGTCTCTACTTATATTCACATTTTCTTAAGTAGGAGGTGGCACCTCCTTAAGTGAGATGTGTGCATATTTGGCAGTACTAATTACACCACTAATCTAAATAATATAGATTAACACTAATTAAATTAGATTAAAAAAACAAATAAATAAATCTATCATATAAATTTTATCATAACAAAAAAAATGCAAATTGTAGATTTTAAATCTTTCCCATTATTTCAGTATCTAAATTACAGAGATAAAATCCATAGATTTCTATTGCTTAGATATTTGAAATCTATTGACTACAAATCCATTCTCAAACAAATCTAAATTAAAGTGGTGAAGGATGATTTTAGTCAAGAGGTATAAATGTTTTCTTTTAAAATAAATAAATTTAAAGAGGATTACTATTTGCAGACTAGAATCGAAACTAAATAAATATAAATTAACATTATATTTAAAATTTGCCTCAAGGGCAAATTACATAGGCTAAAAAATGTATTTTGTCCTCACTCTGCCAAGGCAAGTTCAACTTCATCCATAGAAACCACGCAATTCAAGTGAGATGTAAACCTGTTGCATTGCGTACAATTGTCAACCCAGTGGTTCAGGTCTTTTCCTTTCTCACAGGCATCGCATATGACCTCTTTTGAGCCATCTTGGGCTTAAAGAGAACGAGTAAGGGTGGGAGCGTGTCTATGAGGTCAGTATTTTAGGCTAAGATGTAGCAAAGCACATTAACATGCATAATTAATGAGCAATCAAAACAACTATAGAAGGCACCTTTGCATAATTAACATCCATTGTCAATGTTTGAGTGGAAATGGCAACTATATGTCTTTGGAAAAGAATATTCGAGTGAGGATGAGTCCAGGAAAGGTAGACAATCGAAAGGTTTCAAGTTCCTCGGGGGGTTTCTCGGCACAAGATTTGTGGAGGATTAGATCACATTGTGTACATTTGTAGTAGGTTCGACATGGATGACCCGAGATGAGTTTCTGACACTTTCTACAAGTAACATTGTTGTCATTGTCATCCTCATCCTTGATCTCTTCACTTAAAACTATGCAAGTGTATAGATTGCTTGTCTTTCTGCTGCGCGCATTTTTTATTCATGACTGGAAATTTAGATTCTTCCTCTCCCTCAACGGTTCTAAAACCACTATTTATCCGCTGATTGAAGTCGACGCGGTGGCTTTTTTGGCAGATTGAAAGACGAGACACAGCATGACTGACACACTTATTAACGTGGGCAGTGGTTTCTACCGTGAGCTTGCGGATGTCGCCAATGTCATAATCTGAGGACTCATTGAACTTTTCCAAAAACAGCTTAAGATCATCCCATGTTGAAGGCATGTACCAACTGGTGGCACCATCAACAACCCCTTGTTGTCTCTCTAGACGTTTCCTCCATTCTACTTTTTCACTTTATATGCACTCAACGATAATAAGATGGGCTCCTGTAAATAGGGATGCATGCAGAATTCAACATAGAAGGGACGAACATAATTACTAATATATTTAAAAAAAAAAAATATGAGCTACAATATCAATTTTTACATATATAAAAGATAATAATGATTTTGTTTTCTTTAGTGACTGTAAAATAGTTTATTTATTAAAGTAATATATTTTGAATTGTGTTTGACACTCATTGACCCTCTCTCATGTTATTAAAAATGTCTATGATAGAATTGACATTAAAATTTCAATGTTTCTTAATAAATTTAATCAACTAGACAACTTCTTATCTTTTGATCGGTAAAAAAGTAATCTTTATTGATGTAGTCAAAGTACAATACAACAGAAAAACATCAATAAAGAGATGAGTGCAAGGAGCATCACAACACAACTAAACGATCCTAATTAAGTTGGCACCAAAGAGCTCACCCAATCATTTGCTAGCACATCATAAGTTGGTGAGAAATCAACAAATAAGAACAACCAAAAAACAAAGGAGCTTAACAATATTCAAAACAACTGATTGACAACAAACAACTAGAACTACACTCCAACCACTATTGACTGACAACAAAGAATTGGGCTTTAGGATTTGCCATCGATCATAGTTTTAATAAATTAATTTCTTTTTTTTTTATTTTAACCAAAATGGTTTCATATTTTTATACATTTCATAAATATATAGAGATGATCACTTAAACTTGGAGCCATATAAATCTTTTAAAAAAAATAAAAAAGAGAGCAAACTTTTATAATTTAGAGATAATTATTAATATCCATTCTTGCCTGTAGAAGTTGAAAGCTGAAGCAAACGATCTCGATGGGAAGGACGAGACGGGGGAGTCGAGGACGACTGAGAGACACAAAAAAAGCTGGAACAAAGCGGTTTGGCAGACGACTTCAAACGATAATGTGTTGAGGTGTTATGCGGATTGGCTCATGACGGTTGGTAGCAGCTGCTGAAGCGTGGCGATGCAGCTACGAACATCATCTAGCTTGAGAACAACACAACCCAAGTCTTGTGTTAGTAACTTTGCCAAAGTGCTCTTCCCTGTGTATGGATGCTATGATCATTTGGGGTTAAACTGACCCCATCTCTCTCTCTCAAGTTTGACGACTCTTATGATCCAACAGCAACCAATTCACACTCTTCACTTTTATGTATTCATTTTAATTTTTTTTTCTTTTATTTTTATAATCAACTGTTGAAGTTAATTTCCGTATATCTCAATTAATTTTTGAATCAAAATAAATGTTTTAGACTGATTTTAAAAAGTTTATTGTATTTTGTTGGCGTCATAAATTTGCAATATTATTATTATTTATTATTTATATAATTGCAGGACATGTGACACCCTTCTACTCATTTGGAAGTTATAGGAAGTTATGAAATGTGGAAAGATGATAGAGAACAAAGAGGAGAATATGGAGCATGAAATAGAGATTGAAGAAAGTTATGGAAGTATGAAATGGAAGAGATGGAAGAATAAGGTAGTTATTAGGTAGTTTTTTTCTTACAAATGTTTGTCTACAAATATGTTTGCTTATAAATAGTCATTCATGGCTATATTGTAAAAAGATTCAGAACTCAAATCAAAGACAATTGATTTCTACTTTTCTTGTCATTTATATTTCCTGCACTTAATTTTTTGCACTTCCTTTTTGAAGTATAGGAATAGAGGTAAATTCATGGTTAGTTTGATTGTTTACTCAATCACCCCGATTATTCACTCAATCATCTTTCTCCGTCTCCCTCGTTTTTTTAATTTTTTTTTCTTTACATTTAACAATTTTGAAGTTCTCTTTATTGAGGCAAAAGAACAGTTAACACAGTCGCTTGATAATTAACTTGAATTTAATCTGTAAGGATTTTTCAATCTTTGCTGGCACGCTCGCATTTATGATATTTTCCTTCATAGAAAAAATAAGCCAACAATTTTTGGCATGCACGGTGGGACGTTAAGTGTAAGAAATGAAAAATGAATTAAATTCATTTATTTCAAATAGCTTAGATGAAATCTTTTGGTGTAAACATAAAATTTGGAATTTTCAAGAAGAGATCCATTTTCTTGATGAAATAAACTTTCATCCCTTACAATATTATTTGGTGAAAGAAAAAAGATACCATTTAATTAGAGAAATTCATCAACTTGATATGAAAATTTGCTAATGGAATGATGAGTTGTTAATTCTTACTACCAAGTCTTTAACTTAAGCTTTAATAGCCAGAATTGGTGAATTTTTTCAAATTTTTTCCATGGTTGAAAATAACAAAAGCATATAGTTGATTTCATCAATGGCTCGGGGGGTCAAAACTCATTTTTAAAGAGCCAATTTATGAAAATAACATGGCCAAAAAGCATGTTATTGAGCCAAGTATGGTTAAAAATAATGTTCCATATAAGACTCGGGGGTTTAAAAACCCATTCTTAGAGAGTCAAATCATGGACATAAGATGTTTATGAAAGATTTTCATAAGCCATTAATGGCTAAAATAGAACAGCCAAGCCAAGCCAAGCCAAAAAATGATGAAACTTATATGGAGGATTTTCTTAAGTCATTAATGGCTAAAATGGAACAATCCACTAGACTAAGAAATGATGAAACTCACATAGAGGATTTTCATAATCTAGTAATGCATAAAATAGAAAGACAACCCCATTTGTCAATGAATGGAGAAAGTTATTTGGCCAAAGAACATGTTCTCAAGCCTAGTTCAAGATAGCCCGCTGATAAAAAGCTTGGGCTGTCAAAAATGACAATTTGGATTTGAGACTAAAGGACAACTTCGCAAAAACAATACTAGAGGTTAGTTCAGTATAATGTACACTGCTCCCAACACTCCACATAGGTGAGACCAACATGAGTGATGTTCCGTTCCTTAGAGATAAATACAAACAGTAAAGAATAATAATCTGTAAGGAATATTGAAAAAAGAAGTTAAATGATTTCCCCATTATTTCTAGCCAATCTCATATTTTGCGAATCCACAAAAGTATTTTGTGATTCTAATACAATCCCCCAAAAACTCTCTTCAGCATCATAGCCAACACTTTTATAAGCAGCTTATATATCCACCTAACAAACTGATAGGACTAAAATCTCTTATTTCTTCTACTCCTCTTCTCTTTGGAATGAAAACAACAAAGAGACATTCAAACTCTTCTCAACAAAATCATGCTCAAAAAGGGATCGCATCAACCCATCATTTCCCCCAAACCACCCCCCAACACCAGTGTAAAAGGCTAACATCATCCCGTCTGGGCCAACAGCCTTAACCCCATTAAATGTTTTTAAAGTTGCTCCCACATCCTCCTCAGTCAGGCCCTTTCCAACCAAGCCTCATCCGCAAATGAGATAGAACAAAACTCTATCTCATCTAGTCTTGGACGCCTCACTGGTCTCTAAACATAACTGGATCTCCTCTCACCTTGTCAAAACTTTTATCCCTAACATTAATACTAACAGTGATATTATGGCATCGGTAAGTATTAGTCATCATGTTAAAAACAATGGGTATTTTCAATCACCATTCTTCAGGCAGAGAGATTTCAACTTCTGCCTCCAAATGATTTCTTCGATCTTAGCTATCCAACCAAACACTCCTTATCCTTCTCTCTATCCTCATCTTCTGCATCTGAAATCAGTCTCGTCTGTTTTAACTTCAAACTCATCAATTCAACGAATCTCCTCCAACACTTCAGCTTTTTGAACCACTAACTTCCCAAATTCAATCTCTCATTTAAGTTTTTTTTTTAAGATTTTTTTTTTTTTTTGATAAATAAAAGTAACTTTAATAGAAAAAGCCCTCATCTAAGATGGTTCCCATCCTCCTAATGAAAAGGATTTGAAAGAAAAGGGTACCCCACACCAAAATTTCAAAGCCATTGCATACTTGGCAGCCCATAGTTGACAACTATAATCTAAAAAGCAAGGATACATAACAGACAAAGGACATATATGATATGATACAGACACTCTGACATGGTTACATATACATGAATATAATAACAAATTATATACATGAATTTAATAACAAATTCTTTGTTAAAAATACATTTATATTTTATACATGAAAATAGAAAGAAATCATTTTTCAAACTCTATAAGTTGAAAAGGAAATATGAACAAAAGATCATATAACTATTGTAAGAAGCTCTAATCCCAATCAAACTATAAATTTTAGGCTTTGAGGTTCGTAAATTTAAAAGTCTAAAGAAGGAAAGGAGCGATTAATAGATATAACCAATAGGGTTTATTTTATGGATTATTTTTATTTTAATCATTGGTTGTCAAATTATTTTATTCAAAATTGTGATGTTTTATTCCATGTCAAACCAATAAGCATGTATCCCATAAGTGTCTAAAGGGTCACCATTTCTATAATATATATATATATATATATATAAAATAAAATTAAAAAAAAAAAAGTAATTAGACACATTTGAACAAGCATCTAACACGTTTTGGGAAATGTTAGTTTCAACATCTATAAGAAACACCTTCTTAGAAGTGTTCGTGGTTCTTAGACTATAATGTCTATTTTGTAGGCTATTGCAAAGGAAAGAACACTAGAATTCTTAAAACAAATATCTAAAGAACATGGATTCTCCAGACCTGTCAATATAGCTATTGACATCAAAGAAAAAAACTAGAGTTGCATCAGAGTATTTGCCAAGCAAGAATCATGGAGTATATATACATTGATGGTAACATGATACTGTTGAGAGTCACCACTAACTCTCCTCACTCTCTAGAATCTTCTCTCTAGAATATTCTAGAAGTTTCCACATGAATCTAGAATATTCCGGAAAGATCTAGAAGATTCTGGAAAGATCTAGATTCTAAAATATCCTAGAAAGTTCCAAAACATTAAGAAGTTAGAAGAAAACTGGAGAAAACTAGAAAGTTCCGGAAGGTTCTAGAATATTTTAGAGAAGAATAGAAAAGCTCTAATATGTACTAAAGTAATCTAGATTGTTCTAGACTGTAGGGTAAGTATGAGTATATTCTAGAAAGTTCTTCAGGTAACATAAATATGAGATGAGTGCATGTATTAAGCAATTAGACAATTGAATGAAAAAGAGTGAGTCCAAAGTGAGTGGTTAAGCACTATCTAGTGTGAGGTGTCTCAAAGTCTTGTGTAAGGAAGAAACAAGTGTGAAGTGCTTGAATATATGTGTGAGTGAATAAGTGAAATGTATTAGTGTGTGATTATGTACAAGTTTTTTGTGTACAATCAATAAAGGTAGTATTTCTGGGTTCACCAGTATGTCAAACTCAACAGATACTACCTAATTCTTTAGGTTTGGTTAAAGGAAGAGCGATGAGGGATTTAGAGATACAATCACCATAACAATGGGATAACAAGCCAAGCTAAATGTCAAAATGTGAAAATTCAATTGAACATTTAAAGTGACTTCAAGGTTGAATGAAAGACATGTGCAACCGTAATCCGACCAGATGGCATTTCTATCTGCATGAGCATTTTAGCTGGTTTTTGTCTTCTTTCTTTCCCTTTTCTATCTCCTTGCAATCTTATATGGGTGTGCCATCTAAAGGAAATATGCCTTATTCTTCCTCTATACTTCCTCTTTCTAATATGCTTCATTTTTCTACTACAAAGAGGATCTTCAAGCTCCATTTTCATCATTTCCCATGCTTAAAAGAACAAATTATTGAAGAGATAAAAAGGATATAAATCCTCAAACTTCAAGGTTGTTTTCTTTTGTCTTATTTTATATCATTTAAATGCATCAGAAGGATGGGTCTTTTCCTGCTGGATTGTCAACATTGCCAACTCCCTTTAGGGTGGCCCTTTCATGTGGTCCTGTAGTGATATAGTTGGACATTTTGATATCAAGGAACAAAGAATTGTCTTCCTTTGTTTCCTTTCCATCAAAGGAGACATGGAGGAAGTGTCACGTTCAAACGGGTAAATGGGTAAATGAGGAGTTATAGTCTCAAAACATTCTAGAGTGCTAAGCGGCTTGCACACATTGGCTTGTATACGAGAAGGTGGTTGGCACCACAAGGGCCATGATTCCCTCTTTTTTTCTCTATGAAACAATTTTGGAAGCCCATTTAACCATTTGATAAATTTGAAGAAAAAAGGCACATTTATCACTCTATGTTATACATGCGAAGGGCGTAGAAAGTGTTAATCACTTGTCATTGCATTGTGTAGTTTCTTGGGGGATGTGGAGCATTCTTATTGTTCGGAATTCAGTGAATTGTCCTTCCTCCAATAGGGACTAAGTTTTATTAGCAGGCCCAGGCCCTTTGAGAGGGTGCCGGAACCCTTGTGCCTTACATAGACCGTTGATATGTATAAATGTTCGGATAGTACTTGGGAGACGTGTAGAGCACTCTCATTGTCCGGAATTGTGTGAGTTATCTTTCCTCATATAGGGACTAAGTTTTATTAGCAGGCACTTTGAGAGGGTGCTGCAGCTGCTCCCTTGTGCCTTATGTAGACCTTTGATATGTATAATTGGGTTGTGGGGTGCACTATGGTTATTCTCCTTCTTGAGCATGTTAGCTGACTCTTCTATATCTTGTGTACATGTGTTTATCACCAATTTTTCTACGACTTTTAAATACACCCCATCATCCTAAATGTTGACAATTATTATGGTCACAAAGGGGAGGGGATATTCCTAATCATCATAATTCTTGTGAAAGCCAAATGGACTACCTCCCTACCCCTTCTCAATGCGTTCATACACAAAGCCGCTTCTGGGGGTTCAATGGAATTAGTTTCGAGAGCAGCCGAGAATACATGCGATTGCATAACAATTCAATAATTTTGTGCTGACTACTAACTACCATTCAGACACGCATATAAAATCACATATATTTCTTTAAGAAATCCCAAACAAAAGCAGAAAATCCCAGTACAATCAGAGTTCCAATAACCCATTATTCACCATCATAAAATCAAATAATAATAAAATAAAAGGCTATTGAATTGAATTGCTTACAGTGGGAAGCTGGGGAGGTGGAGGAGGGTAGAGAGTATGATTAGAAGGAGGGTACTGATCAAGGAGAGAAGGCAAGTACATAACCAGTGTTCCATGAAACCCTCTGTTCCCATCTAACGTTCGAATCTCCGGACCCAGTCCGCACACAACGAAGTACTCGAAGATCCGAGCCATTCTCGATCCTCTCCCCCTCTCACAACTTTGCAACAGTTAGAGAGAGAGAGAGAGAGAGAGAGAGGAATTGGGTGTATTGATGTCTGATAATAAGGATTTGCCTCAGATCTGAGTTTTATGGGTTTTGATCTCTACCTGTGACTCTCTGATCAAAATGCTTGTGAATAGATCAACATTTCTGATTGGGATTTTTCTATGATACATGAATGAAGGTGGTTTTCATGTATCATATATAAATAAATTTAGACAATTAGTTTTAAAAGTAAAATAAATCTAACTATTGATTAGTAATAATTAAAATCAGATTAAAAAATCTAAGTAGTTTTATAAAAAATAAGGTAGGTTTTTAATGATTTTGAAATTAAAAAGTAGTTTTCAACTTACCACAATAACTACAGTACACTTATTATTTGATATGATTATACTTACTATTTTTAATAACTATACTTACCATCAATTATTAATAAAATAAACTTATCTTGCTATTCAGGTAACAGGTAAACTTAAAAAATTAAATTATAATAAATTTTCAAAACCTTTAAAATAAATATAAAATTTATAAAATAAAATTTAAGAAAAAAAATATACAAAATAAATATGAATTTTATACATTTTATTATAATTTATTACATTTTATGAAATATGAGTTATTTATTTATTTATCTACTTAATGGCAATAAATGAAACTTAGTTTCCTTTTCATTTACCACACTTGAAAATAATAAATGCAATTAATGAAGAAATATAATTAATAAAATATAGAAAAATTTAAAATTTATTTGAGCATGAAACCCTCTGTTCCCATCTAACGTTCGAATCTCCGGACCCAGTCCGCACACAACGAAGTACTCGAAGATCCGAGCCATTCTCGATCCTCTCCCCCTCTCACAACTTTGCAACAGTTAGAGAGAGAGAGAGAGAGAGAGAGAGGAATTGGGTGTATTGATGTCTGATAATAAGGATTTGCCTCAGATCTGAGTTTTATGGGTTTTGATCTCTACCTGTGACTCTCTGATCAAAATGCTTGTGAATAGATCAACATTTCTGATTGGGATTTTTCTATGATACATGAAAGTGGTTTTCATGTATCATATATAAATAAATTTAGACAATTAGTTTTAAAAGTAAAGTAAATCTAACTATTGATTAGTAATAATTAAAATTAGGTTAAAAAATCTAAGTAGTTTTATAAAAAATAAGGTAGTTTTTAATGATTTTGAAATCAAAAACTTACTATTTTTAATAACTATACTTATCATCAATTATTAATAAAATACACTTAACCTGTTATTCAGGTAACAGGTAAAGTTAAAAAATTAAGTTATAATAAATTTTCAAAACCTCTAAAATAAACATAAAATTTATAAAATAGAATTTAAGAAAAAAAATATACAAAATAAATATGAATTTTATACATTTTATTATAATTTATTACATTTTATGAAATATGAGTTATTTATTTATTTATCTACTTAATGGCAATAAATGAAACTTAGTTTCCTTTTCATTTACCACACTTGAAAATAATAAATGTAATTAATGAAGAAATATAATTAATAAAATATAGAAAAATTTAAAATTTATTTGAGAATTCCATGAACAAAATTTTACGTTTATTTTTTAAAATTTTAAATATTTGAAGATTTGAAGATAAGATTGTTATTGATTTAGAACTCCTTAAAAGTAAGAATCTATGTCTCTATAGTCTCTATCTCTTTTTTTACTTTAACTTTCTATGATATTTTGAATTTATAAATTTTAATGTTTTGTTGAAACAACATTTCACCTAGTTAAAAGAAAAATTATGAGATTTAAGTGGTAAGAAAAAATAAATCAAGTTTGATGAAATCGTAAGTGCAGTCTGAAGTTTAATTTAAATGATTGATTAATCAAGTCTACTAAAATAGTAAGTAGAGTCTAATTGAGTAGTAAGTGTTGTTTAAGTGATGAGCCAAGTTCGATAAAATAATAAGTAGAGTCTAACTGAGTAGTAAGTGTTGTGTAAGTGATGAGTCAAGTTCGATAAAATAGTAAGTAGAGGCTCATTGAGTAGTAAGCGTTATTTAAATGAGTGGTAAGTCAAGTGTGATAAAGTAATAAAGTAGAGTCTCATTGAGTAGTAAGTGTGGTTTAAATTAGTGGTAAGTAAGTCTGATAAAATAGTAATGTGACGTCCAATTTTTTTTTTTTTTTTGAAATATCAAGGGAAATTAAATAAACAAAATGACTTAATAAACTAAAAAGTTGACATCTTAATAGGACATTCCAACTCTCGTACATAACCAAAGATTCAAATAATATTAAATAAAAACTTAAGATTATCCAAATACAACATCAAATGAAATTATAAGGTCCTTAATAGCTAATTTATAAGATAATAAAGTTATTCGACTTTAGTCATGATTTCAAGTCAGCCAAGGCTCTACGTTAACGTCAACTCCATTTCAGCTTCAATTATTTCCTCGCCAAAACCTGACATAAAACGCCAGGGCAACAAAAATATATGCCATGAGTTTTGCAACACAGTAAGAAAACATAACCAACCTACTATTCTTTTTAAGAGAAAAGTAATGAAATTATAAACACGAGATAACAATATAATTGTAAACATGAATTACAACCATTAAAATAATTTCAATAATTTTAATAAATTAGGTGACACTCGAAATCTCACCAAAGAGATTGAACTTACCAACCACTAAGTATGGCAACGGTTAATTTGAAACCCTTCCTTGGTCAAATATTTTAGTGTTACCAACCGTAACTACCAGGGATGCCCACGTCCGGAGTTATATACCCAAGTAGTAGCATCCGTGGTCTGCCCCAAGGAAACGGTCTGCTAGGGGTACGTAACCTCCCTGTGTGCCACCGGCACATCCACCCTTATTCCAAAACCAAATACCGAAAATTGTTCAAATAAGTCCCGTGCCATCTTAGAGTTTTGCAACACAATTTACGTGAGAATTCTCAAAACCAGGGCTCACCCTGAACAACCGGTATTAACCGTCAACCCTTAATTTCGTACACTCTTTAAAACCAAGACTCACTCTGAGCAACTGGTATTGACCGTCAATTGTTAACTTCGTATATGCCGTTAATCATTTCAGTTAATTTTGATATTACTCACAAATAATTCCAATTTTTAATCATAATTGATGTTACACCAACTCATTAAAATTCCCAACATAAAATATTACACATGTCACACAATAATAAATAAATGTACAACATTTAAATAAACAATTTATTTAAACCATGGTATGAAATAATAATTTAGATATAGAGAAAATAAACCAAAGTAGCACACGTGCATGTATTTTTAATTTACAAGATTAGACTGCCACAATATTAAATAAACCACAATACACCCATACATGGATTACTAATTTACTATATTTGATGAATTGAACCAACACAATAACTGATTTTTATCCGAATAAATAATTGAAGTCATGATCTTAAACCTGCCTAGAAATTTCAGGTTATACCTTAAGTAATAAAAATTATAAATAAATTATTTATACAGTTCTAAAATTCGTGAAAATGTACAGAATATTCAATAAATATGTTTGGGTCATTTTTCAGAAATAAATTCCCAAAAATAAGTTATAAATAATTCTGTAAAATTCCCAGAAATTTTATGACACAGATTTATCACATTTCCTTAAATTAATTCCATACTTAAATTTTATAAATAAATTCCATGATCTAAAAATTTATTATGAAACTAGACTTCTCAAATTTCATTTTTTGCTTAGAAATTATCAGATTTGGTTTAATATAAAATTTTTAATGATTTTTCAAACACATAACAAAATTTGTCTATAGCTCCAGATTTGGTTAAAAATATGTATAAATTCATAAAAAACTCAATAATTGTTGAAAAATTTTGTGGATGAACTAGACATCATTATCAACAACTTTGTAGAAGAAATCATCTTCAAAGTTTGAGTATAAAATTGTCTAAAAATTAGTACAACTTTTTGGCAGATTTAAAGTGCCAAATAACATCTTCAATAATCTTTTTAATGGCATAAACTACACATGCAAGTCCAAATTTGATGTACCATCATAAATTTTCATACAATTATAAATAAAATTTTATCTACAAGTTTAGACATTTTATCATATATATATAATTTGAAAATTTCAAATATATAAAAAATGAGAGGGCTGAGAGGGTTTTCTTACTATGTTAGGTTGCTAACGATTTATCGTCCGAATTTGATTTATGATCCTTATCGTAAGATATGACCGTCTTGGCTCCATGATCGTCTTGCTGAAATTTCACATTAATCGGACACGATCTCATCGTTGATCTTTCATTGAATTCTCTTAGAACCTTTAGTTGTTGGTCATCATCTTAGACTTATAATTTGAAAGATCTAACCCCAAAAATGGATTCTACACGTCGAAAAACCTAAGGGTGGTCATCCCCAAAGTCATAGGACCACTCGATTAACCTAAAGGTACTAGGATGCACCGCAGCACCAAGGGCCGAGAAACGCTGGATAAAATTCAATTCATCTTCTCCAACAACCGTAGCATGCACGAACAGAAGACCCAGGATTTTAGTTTCAATGCCACTAGTTCAAATGCTTGTATCTTCTTCATCGTAACTCCGTTTTATCTTATTTTTCTGTCATTGGATTCATCTCACGGCCTAGTTTTTGGTTCACTACTCACACGCCTCGTTCCGTCTATTTTTTCATGCTGTCGGATTTCCAAAATTTGACGAAAAAATAAGATTATTTTCCTACCGTCTCGGACATTTTTTTCGAACCATCTTTCTGACCCCATAACTTTCTTAATTCTTAACGGTTTTACTTCATTCTTTCTCCAATCTCTTCAACTTACTTCGTACTTCATCTTACATGGCCTATTTGTCTCACTTCTTCCTGGAATGGATGGTTTTGGCATGCCGAAAGTAAGCCGAAAACCAACTTTTGAACTTCAAAATAAACTTCTCTAACTTTGCTTCTTTCTCCTCCATCTTCCTTCTTCTTCTCTTTCTTCACCTATAACACTTTGTGAATGGTGGTTCTAGATGATAATAGAAATAGGTGATGGTGGTGGTGGCGGTCTGACGGTGCGCCAATGGTGGTGAAGTTCGCGGGTTGGCGATAGTGTGGGTTAAAGCCGTGACTATGGAGGTCGGGAGGAGGGGTAAGAATAGAGATAAAGAAGAAGAAATAGTTTTGAGAATGAGAGGTGTAGAGAAAGAGAGATGAAACGGATAGAGAGAAATCTATGAAATTGGAAGAGCAGCAAAATGAGGAAGAGTAAAAGATGATCAAAGAAAATGAAAAGAAATAAAAAAAAAAAGAAATTGAACACAGCATGTTCATCACGTTTATTTTGTTATAGGAAATGATTGCACGTGGAAGGTGGGATGTGAGAAAACATGGGGAGCAAGCCCATGGTTTTTTATTGGATTTTAGTGCAGAAAATATTAGGTTTCAGTGTAATTTAATTACAAAAAAAAATATAGAGAAAAATATAATAAAAATATCATACGGCTCAGAAATTAATATTGAGTAATAATATAAAGTCAAAAATATTTTATTTTATTTTGTTTTGAATAAATTTTCAATATAAAAATATACAGAATATTAAATTCAAAATATTGTGAATAATTATTTAAGAAAATTAAAAATATATATATTATTTTTATTATATAAAAATACGGGGTTTCACAAGTAAGTATGGTTTAAATAAGTGGTTTCCAACTTACAACAATAACTAAACGCGCTTACTACTTGATATGATTGTACTTACTATTCCACATAACTACACTTACTATTCAAACATTAATAAAATTCACCTAACCTCTAAAATAAATATAAAATAGAATGTAAACAACAAAAAAATATACAAAATAAATATGAAATTTATAAATTCTATTATAATTTTTTACATTTTATGGAATATGAATTTTTTATTTATCTACTTAATGGCAATGAAGGCAATAAATGAAACCTAATATCTTTTTCATCTACCACAATAAATGCAATTAATGAGAAATATGATTAACAAAATATAGGAAAATTTCAAATTCATTTGAGGATTCCATAAACAAAATTTAGTGGCAAGAAAGAAATCAAGTTTGATGAAATAATAAATGTAGTCTTAAGTTTAGTTTAAATGATTGATAAGTCAAGTAATAAAGTAGTAAGTAAAGTCTCATTGAGTATAAATGTTACGCCAAAAATTCTTACACAAAAGGAGTAACTTTTCAGAAAAAATATAAGCACTCCCACGAAAATGTGTAAGCTTAAGCAAAAGGTGTAAATTTGATGAATTTTTTTTTCACAAAAGGTATAAGTGACTTCCGAAAAAGCTTTAAGTTGGGCTTCCACAAAAGGTGTAAGTTCGAAGAAAAAGTATCAATGTTATGTCAAAAATTCTTACACAAAAGGAGTAACTTTTAAAAAAAAATATAAGCACTTCCACGAAAAGGTATAAGCTTATGCAAAAGGTGTAAATTTGATGAATTTATTTTTTCACAAAAGGTATAAGTGACTTTCGAAAAAGCTTTAAGTTGGACTTCCACAAAAGGTGTAAGTTCGAAAAAAAAGTATAAATCTTATGCCAAAAATTCTTATACAAAAGGAGTAACTTTTCAAAAAAAATATAAGCACTTCCACGAAAAGGTATAAGCTTAAGCAAAAGGTGTAAATTTGATGAATTTATTTTTTCACAAAAGGTATAAGTGACTTCCAAAAAAGCTTTAAGTTGGGCTTCCACAAAAGGTGTAAGTTCGAAGAAAAAGTATAAATGTTATGCCAAAAATTCTTACACAAAAGGAGTAACTTTTCAAAAATGGTGTAAGTATTTTCACGAAAAGGTGTGAGCGTAAGCAAAATGTGTAAATTTGATGAATTTATTTTTTCACAAAAAGTATAAGTGACTTCCAAAAAAGGTTTAAATTGGACTTTTACAAAAGGTGTAAGTTCGAAGAAAAAGTATAAGGGTGGAATAACATTTCAAAACGTTCATAAACACAAAAAGAGTAACATTTCAAAATGTTCATTTCAAAGTGTTCATAACACAAAAGGAGTAACCTTTCGAAATGTTCATTAACAAATTGGGAGAACCACTGAACAGTTACCACCAACGGTTTCTTTGTTCTGTCTCTCACCCCCCCCACACCACACAGAACAGTTACCACCAAACCTTATCCCCGCTTACCACCCAACCATCGCTGGCCACCGTCGCACGCCACCGCCTCAAATCGCCACCGCCGCTGTTGTAGGTTTTTTTTTTTCTCTCTCTGTCGATCTTGGTTTCTCTCTGTCGATCTGTCTCTTCTCTGTCGATCTCTGTCGATCTTGGTCTCTCTCTGTCGATCTCCGCCGATCTTGGTCTCTCTCTCTGTCGATCCGTCTATCTCCGTCTCTCCGTCTCTGTCAAATGCGAAGCTTGAAAGCTAGGGTAGTTAATTAAATTAAAAACCCTAACAAGAAGAAGTCTCCAAATTTTGAAGAAATTAGAGCTCATCTATTTGATCTTGCTTGACCTTAAGTTAGGTTTCTATAATTTTGTTGAATCATTAAGCTTCACCTAATTTTGAAGTTGTTGATGAAATTCTTGAGCTTGAGTTTGAATTTAAAGGTCTACTTTTGAGTGGAACATGAAAATTGTTTGTGTATCATGATTGTTAAATTTTGGTCTTTAATTTGAGCAATTTGTACATACATCTATACATGCATTCTTGAGTATGACAATTGTCATGTTCTCTTTGGCACTGTGAGATCAACTAATGATGCTTATCCATCTGGGTATGGTGTTGGAGTGTAATGGGTGGGAAATTGGTTCCTTTGAGAAGGGGAGTTTATGGCAATTGAAGAATTTTTTAGATTACGCATAGGTTCAGTCCTAAAACATTTTTTGGGGGCTTTGAGGGGTTTGGACAGTTTCTCTCACTTTCTATGAGCATGAAGAATGGTTCATATAGTAACTTATCTATCATGAAATGACCTGTTTGTATGGTATTCGTGTTGATGCACTGGGACATTTGTTTGATCGGATATTCTTGACAGTGAAGTACTCAATGGTATTAAATTGGTCAACAGTGCTCTTTTGTCATTGTTTGACCAATTATTTTATTAGCTTGATTAATTTATTATGTAAATTTTGTAAAGCAATTTGTTTTTTGAATTTATGTTTTTAAGAAGTCTTATGACTTTGATGGTCAGGGTCCTGTGGATATGTTAGTAAGTAACTACTCTTAGATGGCCATTGTATATTTTGAACATCAAATCAACTTGGCCTGTTTTTTAGTAATTCCGCAACTAATACGAGTCTACTAAATATGCTCTTACTAAAGTTCATCATTTTCTGGAACACTTGATTTTCTCAACAAATCTTGAAATTTGAGAGGTGGGTCTAGAAACTAAAGTATGAAAAATGTGTAAGATTTCATGGAAAATGCTAGTGGAGGGGTGGCAATGGAAGTTTTTATGCTCACCTTAAGGGTATGGGAATGACCCTTGGAGGTGCAATTACATGGGAAAAAGCACTAGAGGAACTAAAATTTTGAATGCTTTTCTTGTAAATTATAGTCACTAGGATGGGTTGGAGATTTTTTGGAATTACTTTTCTTATTGAGAAAATTGTGCCATTGGGAGGTAAAGATTGATATAATTTTTTTTTTTTTTTTTTTTCCGGTTAGGTTGAAATCCATTAATGCGCATAGGATTGTGCTTTGGTTTGGTAAGGAAAGTGAAGAAAATTACTATTTTTTAATTAATCCATTCCTATTATTTTATACTTTGGATGATTTTACTATTTTGGGTGCAGTGTTTAAATAAGATCCTGACAACTGAGTCTTAGGGTTGGTTGTTTCCAGAGAGGTGCTTTTTAATCTTTCAGAGGAATTGTTAAGTAGTGTCTTATGTATTTCTTTTTTTATGGGGAAAACTTAAAGCTTTATTTTGAGTCCTACCTTTTCCTCAACTTTCCTATTTTTGATCTCTTTGTGGTTGGTGACTTTATGTTGCACTCAGTTAACAAGTAACAACACTTGACATTATGTTATGAGGTCCACTGGGAAGAGTAAATAATTGGCAATCCTTTGAAAGCTCTGGAGGTCTTTAATTGAAGTTAAAGAATATCATGAAAAGATAATTGTTCTTACAAACTTTTTATTCTAATATTTCTTCCTCTTCTTGCAGTATAGTACTTACATGTATGCTTATTTATTTGTTATTTGATGTTTAAATTTGTTTGCTTTAACAGGTCTAGCTTTGTTAGTTGATGTTCCAAGGGATGAGAATATAACTGGTATCCATTTACAGTACATTGCTTTACATTTGATAGAAAACAATTTTTCTTTTTTCTTTTTTACTTTCCTTGTTTCCTTCTCTATAATTTGTTGATGTTTCTAAGAGACAAGAGCATAACTGGTAGCCATTTGCAGTATTTTTCTTTGCATATGATTGGAAACATGCCTTTTTTCCACCTTGTTGTTGTTTGCTCTATTAGTTGAATAATACACATTAATTGGTAAGATTTTGGGGTTCTTAGCAAAGAGATTGAAAGCAATAATGTTGGACAACAATAGATTGAAAGCAATAATGTTGGACAACAATAATACAAAGGGGATTTTGGCCATAGCCCTTTACTGATAGAAATTTATTGTGAAAGTTAACAGTCAAAAAGTTTCACATAGAAGGTCCCTCATTTAAACAAATGCTTGCTGAATGATATAATGCCTATATATATAATTGTAAATTTACTCACCGTCTCATATAAATACTCACTTAACAATAAGGGGCATTCTGATAAGTGCTTATCCAGGTTTACTTTATAGAGTATCTATTATGTATTTAATGTTCTCCATGTTTTTCTAAAATTGGGTGATTAAATTATGTCTCTCTCTCTCTCTCTCTCTCTCTCTCTCTCTCTCTCACACAGCTAAAGTTATGAAATCCTTACATATTCCCATGGGAGTACGTCGTGTGCTTTTTAGAACATTAAACACTGACAGGTAAATCATGACATTTAGTTTTGCATAATGATCGTATGTGTGGACCATGTTTCGGTTATGCTCTTCAAGGAAGTCTTGAGTTCTGGGGTATTTACTACTTGTCAACTATGTTGATTTGGAATGAAATTATTTCAGTTGGACATATAATACCACTGAAAGTTGCTGTGGAAGTGAATTCAATTGGTCTGTGTTATCATTTTTTACTATATGAGGTTAACTGAGAATGCTTTATTACAATTCATATAAGAATTTAATATAGAAAAATAGGGCGAGTCGCATGGACAATAGTCTTTATTGAAGTTCCATATTTGGTTGAAAGCCTAATGCTAGTGACATTCTAAAAGTTTGTTTCAGCTGAGCCTGTGTGGCTACAGATGTGTTGCGGCTTTCAACAGTCTTACTAGTGCTAGTCTGCTCCAATTCAAGTGTATATGGACATAGTAGACACCCAGAAAAACTTATTGAACTCTATGAAATTATAGGAGATATTGGTAGAGATAGCCTTTTTAGGCTCAAATTTAAGAATCCGAAAGGGAATATATGGTTCATGAGGTATGCCACAGCCTGTTGGGTGATGTTTTTATTCCTAGAATCCTGGTTAAATAGTAAGGTATACATCAGTATTAATAGTTAAAATCAAGCGCTGATGGCCTTGTGGCCTAGTGACATGGGTGCAACTCTTAGGTGCTTGCAAGGGTGAGGTTGGGGGTTCAACTCACCCAGGGTGCTAATTTAACAACTAACAACTGACAAAAAAAAAAAAAAAAGAAGTTAAAAAAGAAAGTCTGCGTAAAATACAACCGATGTTAAACAGATGGTTGTTTCTTGTACTGTACATTCTTTTATGCAGCCAGTCTATTTGTTGGTTGAGAATTACATGGCAAGGACACTCGGATTCTTGCCTAAATTACTTGTTGAGTATCTTGAATATGCTGCATACTCTGTAATAATTCTGTCCATAACTATAATGGATATGGTATGTGTAATTTGTAGTTCAATCTCTATTAGAGACTTGCATTTATATGTCACATGTGATGCATGCTCAAATTGTTTGATTTTTTTTGATCGAGTTGCACCAGGAATAACTTTCTGCAGTTGAGAAATAAAGGCACGACAAGTTTTTATTCTGATTGACTTGTATGTTCAACATGTGTGACCTCTTTGTAGAAAACCATAATAAGAGAAGCTTGCAAAATTACAATCTAAAGGCGAATTTTTTTGTTTGATTACTCAAGATTGTCGTGTTCTCCCTTGTTTAGTTTAAAAATAGATTGTTTTAGCAGTTGAGTTGGGTGCTAACCCATTAATTGGCATATTTCTAATTCAACAAAATCTAAATTCTCCCTTGTCGTGTTCTCCCTTGTTTATTTTTTTCTTTCTTTCTTGTACTCTGAGAAAACTTAACTGAATAGTCATGTGGCTTGTTTGTAGTTATTAATGCCTTATATCATCACTCCACATTAGCAGTTTCAAGCAGGCCTTCGAAGTGCCCTTTACTACAATTTCCAAGAAGAAACTTTTTCAGGATTTGTTGCGACTGTTTCCAGTTGCATCTTCACCAAAATCTGCGTCCTTAAGTTTTCCTACTTCAGTATCATACTACCAGGTATGTCCTTCAGCACATAAGGTTGTCTTTCAAATTTGATAAATGCTAGGTTGCATGATAAATTGGATATCTGTTTTTCTTCGAAATTCGTGGAACTTAATACAAGTTTTCTTTGTAATTCCTCTTTTGTATGTTTGAAATAGTTCTCTTTTTCTTGTCATCGTGGAATTTATTAGCCATGAGTTGCTGATAAAAAATAAAAAATTTAAATAATAGCTATGACTATGAGTTGCTGCATAGTTAAAAAAATTAAAAAAAAATAAAAAAATAAAAACCTTCTTAGTTGACCAATCAAATCATCTTAGTTGCGTTGATATCATCGTAAGTGGATGGTCCAAAGAACTAGATCTCTCTCACCTTTTGTGCTGGAAGAGGTGGCTATCAATCAAATTTTGAATAAGATTACAGACGCTCTATTTTCTACCGTTTACTCACAATGGGAGTAGGGCTCACATCTTCAATTGGTGTGGGCCCCAATCCACCCATTTTGCCATTTATGTTTATGAGATGTTGATTGGCATGATGATTTGTAAATTTAAACCATTAATATAGAGCGTGATGATACGGCTTCTTTATTATCCCAATTGTAGCAACTTCAAGCACATTTTAGTTGACCACCACTTAATACAAGAGAATCTCATAACTGGATGAGATAATGAAATAAGTATTGTTCTGTACCTAATATGGATACAAACATATATAGTTAATATCAAGCAAATAAATAAGGATAAAATAAACTTGCACCTGGTTATGTAAGGCTCAAACATATCCCAAGGGCTGGAGCATGACACAATTGACTCATTCTGTTGCCACCTCTACTCATACAACCATTTTTTTTGTTACTCTCAAGATTTCTCAGGTAAGGACTGCTGTCTTTTTTAATTTTTTTTATTGAATTGCCCCCCCCAGTGCCAAAGTTGTGCGGTATAAACTGGATTACTATGCCTAAGTTGGAATATTAATTGAGAACATATAAGTTTGATAGTAATCCAACAAAACAGAATATTTCATTCTAGGTAATGTGTGTTAACAACATGGTTTCTTTCACATGCTCTAACCTTTAAACTGTAATTTGCGTGAGCCTGTGGAAAGCCTTCGACCAGATATGGCTTCATTCCTAAATGGTTTAATTTTAGTCTGTACTGTAATTACATAATTATTATTTTAATTTGATTCTCATTACCTACTTTGTCTTCTCTGTTTTTTAATCTTTGGCAGTTTATATTTGATGCTGCTGCAAAGTTCTGTGTTGATATTGCAACTCATCAGCATGGATGTTGTGTTATGAATCAATGCATTGATAAGTCAGTTGGGAAATATCAGGAAAAGTTGGTTGCAGAAATTGTTGCTAATGGGCTTCTTCTTGCTCAAGATGCTTTTGGGTAATTTTTTTTGAAAAGTTTGGATGATATCTTTGATTGAATATTTTTTATGTACTATGTATGCATGCTTATGGGTGTATTTTGATAGAATGATCCACATAGAAATATATCCAACAAATGAGTATTTTTGCTCACTAAAGCAATAATTTTCCTGCTGTGATACGGTTTGTTTACATTCTTGTTAGGAATTATTGATTTCTCTGTAATTCTATTATTTGTTACTCAAAATCTTGCCTTTTGAATATCACTGCATTTAGTAATATGGTAACAGAAAAAACAAACAAACAAACAAAACTTCCATGATTTGAGCAGTGTAAAGAAGGGAAATGCCTCACTGGAAGCTTTCTTGTTATCTGTTCCTGATGGCTACCACTGCGTGGATCTTTGTCTATATAAAGTAATGATCTTAAGAGTTTCCATGTTTATGCCGTTAATTTTCATAACTGGTTGTCTATATGACCTTTTCTTGTCGAAAACAGGAAAGTCAAATCGTACTATTATTAAACGAATCAACTACCAGTTCTGAAAGCTCCAATAATGGTTGTATAATGATTGTACAAGCGAGTGACCTTCCATTTGTATCTATTTCAAGATCCACTGGTCTAAACCGTTGGAATCTGCATGAACTGAAGGTATATTCTTGTTGAGTTTGATAGAGCAACCTGATATACATGGGTTTATTGTGCTTGCAAAATCTATCAGTTTTGTTGTGTTGGCATGTCTCTGAAATTCTACTATCTGTGAAATTGAACTTCTGCTTCTCCTGACATGCAATTTTGTTTGTGTTGGTACCACTCCAACATTTGGGCAATCAACTTCAGCTTCTGCTAGCAGCAGCTTTTTTGGAACTGCTTTGTCTTCTTTTGGGGATCAGAATTCCTTCTTAGGTGGGTATTTAAATAAGTTATTGCTGGTTACTCTATAATATGGTTACATATTTCTTTTGCTACTAATATGAATCATTATTATTTTCTCAATCTATTTTGCAGGATCCCAGTCCACAACACCAACATTTGGAACTACAGGCTTTGGACAGTCAGTTTTTTGCAGTCAACATGGACGAAGTATAGCAGCTTACACTGCTACTGCTGAAGTAGATGACGGAAGTAGTGCTGCTAAACTGGAGTCCATTTCTGCCATGACCATTAACAAAGACAAAAGCCATGAAGAATTGAGGTGGGAGAGCATTTGGAAATTATTGGTGTTGGTGATCCATCTGGAAGGGGTCTAGGTTTTAGCTATGTTCGCACTGCTCGAAGGCTCCAATATCAAATGCAATGGTGAAGAAAAAGCAAGCTGTTAGTCGGGGAGGTTCAACTGTAACTGGAACAAATGCTGAATCTGTGTGTTCTGAATCTGTTGTGAATTTGTATTTTAAATTTAGATGTTGTAACTGGCGAATTTGTTTTTAAATTTAGATGCAATGGTGAATCTGTGTGTAACTGGTGAATCTGTGTGTTCTGAATCTGTTCTAAATCTGTATTAGATACTGAATCTGTTTTAAATTTAGATACTGAATCTGTGTGTTCTGAATCTGTATTTTAAATTTAGATGCTGTAACTGGAACAGATGCTAAATCTGTGTGTTCTGAATCTGTAACTGGAACAGATGCTGAATGGTGAAGAAAAACAAAAGGCCTTAATATTTTATATGTTCTGAATTTGTGTATTCTGTATTTTAAATTTAGAGCAACATGTAGTCTAATGTGCTGCTTTCGTCTTTCTGGTCATGGACTGATTGCTGTGGTTGCTTACTATTGGAGGCTTCCTTCAGGTTGGAGACTTCCTTCAGGATGATCTGTGTGACAGGTAGAACAAAATGTGTAAAGTCTGAAAAATGTGTAAAATCTGCCAAAATGTGTGACAGGTAGAACTAATGTGGATGTAAATTTGATTTTGGTAATCAATGTATGTGTAGATTATTGATGTGTAAGGTTATGAATTTGATTTTGGATGCCGATCTATTCGGCATAAAATGCATCCATATTGCAAGAGTACAGAACAATTGATTGCACAAATGATTGTGAGATTGGAACATTGCCTAGTGCCTAATAGATTCACTATGATTTGATTGTACACAATATTGAAGCAAATTATACAAGGATGCCAAACTTTGGCATGTTTTTTTTTTTGTTTGTCATGGCCATGGCCTCCAAAATGATTGGCTAATTGATTGGTGTTATCACTTATTTTGCAAAAATTGATTGACTAATGGGTCCCCAATCAATTTTCAAATCTATTGGAAAATGCTCTGCCTTGATAGAAATCAATTGGCCAATCCATTGGCCATAATCCAAATAAAAACTAAAACCCAAAATCTTTAGTGTTTAGGCTATGGACTTCCAAATTAGATTTTTTATAATGACAAGGTTTGAAGTTAAATTAGATTTTCACAATCTCCTCATAAATTACTATTCAATACATTAAAACATCAAGCAAAGTACATCATATTTCAAACATCAAGCAACTTATCCTCATTGACAATTTTCAAAAATTTAGAAGAAGAAGAAAAAAAAAAAAGGCAATATACTACCATATTTTAAACAATAAACAACCTGGTGAGATCATATTCACCAAAACACCAACCATAAGAATTTTTTTTATACACAAAACATATCATACTAAACTCCTAAAAGTAAGCAAAAAGTGTTCATAAACAAATTGGGACAACCATAAAACCCATACCATAACCTATTCAACTATCAATTTAGTCTTAAGCATAGTAAAACAATGAAAAGGCCAAGGTCAAGGCTCCTTAGAAAATTCATCTCCGTCTTCAACATCTTCTGTTCCCGACTCTTCTTCGTCTCCCTCATCGTCATCATCTTCATCTCTTCCCAACTCTTCTTCGTGTCCCTCATCATCACTTTGTCCTCCATCCTCGTAAGGGGTATCTACATTTTTTTTGTCAATTCATTCAATGTCACTTACACAGATTTTAGATCATTCTTTTCTGTCTCCTACGTCTCTTCTGAAATTCTCCAACTTGAATGTCATCCCCTCCTTAAATTTCAAACCAACATGCAACTCTTCCATCTTTGAGTTAAGCTCTCCATATCCAATCTGGTAGCAGATACAGTTGCTTCCAAATGCTTGATCATAGCATCTGTGTGAAAAACAAGAAGCAAGTCTATTAATAAAAATTCAGATCATAAGCCAATTATTGTTATCATATGATAAGACTTACAACTCCTAGACACTAATCCACTAAAAAAACACTTCAAGCACATGAGTATAGAAGTATGCCTCTGTTTCCAATTGGAATAGCCTATGTAAAACTCCAAATGCATTAAAATTCATTAAATAAATCATTAAGTTAAATGTGTGATATTACTACTATCACTAATATAGGAAGAGTGTGGTGGCAGCAGCAGCAAACTGGTAAGCGGGAGTGTCGCCCCCAATGTTTTCCCT